GCGAGAACCTTGAGCACCGTAAAGGTGACAGTCTGACTTTATGCTCTGTTCCACTCCTGTTTTGAGGTAAGCACCTGGGGGAGGGGTCCAAGGGTCTTGCACCTCTCTTCCCCGACCATCAACCTCTCAAGAGGACTTTCGGCTCGCCGTCTATTTTGAGTGCTCCCATGCTGTACAGACACTGTACATTTACAAAAATCCATGCTTTCTCCGGGATTCGAACCCGGGTCCTTTGGTATGGAAGTAGTGTCGCTAGCCACTTTCCCGCCTGGGCGGCAAAATTATTTTTAGCTGATAATTTCAAAATTAAAATATCATTTATTACCATGATTAAAAGCGGGTTAAATTGCAATAACTTGCATTTCATATACATTAAAATACATTTTGAATTAAACGCAGTCCTTATGGAGGTGGAGCAGACAGTAGTTGACATCTGCCAGGATAACTGCACACTGAAAGGCTATATGTTAGGTCTCTGACCATCCCTGGTAATGTTAAATATATAAATATAACATTAAGATTCATTTTGTAACATTTCATGTTAAAATAAGTATTTCTTTTTTGATTTATACGCATTAATAACAGTTATATTCTCTTATATGAACTTCATTTGCCACTGGAAATCCTTTTGTAACTCGTATTTGCTCAGATATTTATCCAGCATCTACAGTTTAGACGTACCGAATGACAAATTGAACATCTCTAATTTCCATCTATTATGATTGTACCTGTAATATCTAGTAATAATTTTAGATTTTGAACTTTCAAAAAACAAGTTCGAAAACAAGTTTGAAATGAAATAATATAAAGCTAATACTTACCATATAATGAAGACGAAAGAAAATTCTTTTGATTAAAAGTGTTTGTGAAGTTGCACTGGTGCTTTTACTTCCCGCTCATGTGATCTTGCTGGACATTAAAATACAAAATATTCAGGATTATCCGGATAAAGATCCTTCTGTACCACGCAACGGCTTTTCTGCACTGTCCATTTCTAATAAAAAATTGATGTGGACATCACATGGTTTCCTTTTACGGCCTATTTCATTACACATATTTTTTTTCTGCCCTTCATATAAACTTATTGTTTATAATTATTCTAAATTTATTAACCTATTCCTCAAGGCAGGTTGTGAATGACATAAAAATTGCAAATTTTGAAATAAAATATCCTGGTCAAATTAAATTAATTAAACTAAAACTGTTTTTAATTTTTTTATATACTGAAGTCAAATTTTTTATAAGTTTTTTTTTTTTTTTTTTTTTTTTTTTTTTTTCTTTTTTTCTTTTTTTTTTTTTCATAACGAGTATCAGTCTTTCATATAATTAAAGCAACTATAAGCTATACAATAATATAAGCTAATACTTACCATATAATGAAGACGAAAGAAAATTCTTTTGATTAAAAGTGTTGTGAAAGTTGCACTGGTGCTTTTACTTCCCGCTCATGTGATCTTGCTGGACATTAAAATACAAAATATTTTATTAAGAATTACTAAATATATACAAATATTAAGTATAGGAACCGGTAGACAGTATTAAAAGTTAGATTTCGCTATTTGTCGAAATTTTTTTTTTAATTTAACATTGCCAAAACATGAATATTTTTGCCATTTAAAACACTTCTGTAATTAGAAGAAAATGACGACGACCAATGACTACGAAAATAAAGACCGAATACTGATTTTTAAGCCAGGTAAAGGTGGTGGTTATAAAAATATATTTGGTGCTGCCGATAGCAATTAAAAAAAAAGGAGACGCACAGCTAGATGTTATAGCAGTCTCACATACAAACTTTCAACGTTCTACGGCTAATCGTTTTTTAGTTACGCGAGATACATACATACATACCTTTTGAATCCATTTTAACTCCGTTTTACAATCCGTTTTGGAAAAAGAAAAAAAAAAAAAAGAGTCCTTTATTCTGTTCGTACATACGTGTCTTAACATGCATATGTGATACAAAGTGAAATTAAAATTTCTCACGCGTATTCATTATTATTAGTTGCTAAATGTCACAAAAATACAGTGGCCCCTCTCTCTAAGACGACCAGATAACTTTGGTCTACCACGGGGCGGTTTGTATTATTAAAGAAATGGTCGTACTGGAATTTATTTAGAAATACTGCTAACTTTCAGGATGGTTGTTAAAAAAGAATTCGCTTACTTATTTTAAACCTAACTCTGGGAGGGGGGTTGATACAACACGTTAGAAAGAAGAGTTGAAAGGGAAGCAAACCAACCCTGAGCTTTAAAATCATGAAATTATCTCGATTCAAATTTAGCTTTAGTCATTTTAGTGAAATTTCTGAGCATTTCGAGGAAGTCAAACTCAAGCCTTTGATCTGTCAAGGAGTTATGTTATTCTGCTTCGAAAGTATTTTGGCGCTTTATTTATTAAACTACTAAAAATAGGATATTGATTTTAAAGCTATAGAGGCATAATTAAATATGGAGAATTTTTAAAGACAACTAAATTTTAAAATGAAAGTTTTCGTTATTTGATCTACCTATTTTATGTACTTAATTTTGGCTTAGTGATCTTTAATTTGTCGCTGGAAACGTAAACAATTCCCGTGAATACATGCTGAATTTGCTAATACGCAATCCAACGCAATATGATAGTGATAGGGTTCTTGCATAAGATATCCCGACAAAACTGTACTGTCATTATCTCGATCTTTATTCAGTATGGAATTCGTAGTGTCAAATATTTTGATATCTTGCAATACTCATACTCGCACAGTTTTTAATCTAAATGCATAATCGAGATAATATGATTAATATTATCTGTTTAGATGACACATTTCGATTAGAGAAATGTTGCGGTTTCGAGGGCATTGGGCTTACTTCGGGTTTGATCACCTAATTTTAAGGCCGAGGAAATACTTACCTCTTCAATTTAAAAACTAGTTTATTATATATATAGGTAAGGTTTAGTTTAAGTATTTTATTTTATGAACCGGCTTGAACAATAATTGTTCGCTTATCCTTCCGCATATCAAATGCAAATATTTTTAAACACATTATTGAATGATTTCTTTAATTAATTTTCATTAAGAATATATTCTAGCCAAAACTCACTTTCCATAGCCCTTAAAATTTTCCTTTGTATGTATTTTGTTATGTTTGGTTTTTAATCTTTGATTAAGGTTTTAAAAAGTTGCTGAAAATTGCTTTCTTTTAAAATAATGTAACTTTTTATTAATTTCTTTTTTACACATCTCAATTGATAGCTGTGAATTATAATCAATTTGTTTTTACTGTGACTTTTGATCCCTATATTACCGAAAATATGTAAAAATGAAATGGTAAAAAAAATAGTTCTAGCTTTGGAAAGTGGATTGGGTTTTAAATTATTTATGAAATAAATTCAGAAATAGCTATACTTATTGGTCTAAACATTGTTGATTGTAATATATTTGTTGGTCTAAAAGGTAAAGTTTCGCCGTCTAATCATAGCTCTTATAATGCTTAGAGCGAATTACTTCAGCCGTTTACTTGTTGCTAGAAAATGAATATTTCCTTTAAAGCATAATTAAATTTAACTAACATTTTAATGACAGCACAAAATTTCAAGATTTTGGAACTTTAAATTATGTTATATGCAGTTACACGGAGACGCACTCATATGTAAATTGACATTATACTTAAAACTGCTTTAAAAGTTTTAAGTATAATAATGTATATTTTTTTCTTTAAAGTTCTTCAAAATGTATTAAAATCAATAACGGGTCTTTTTCCCCTCTTTTGGGGAATTTTCTTCCGAAAATGTAGCAAAATAAAAGTATGCGTAGTGACTCGATTAAAACTTCTTCATATTTAGTTTTTTTTTCTTATAGTTCAAAATTTGCAACTAGCACATTTTTCTTATTATCAGTGTTAATTTTCGAATCATTAATAACTATTAATTTCCTTATGAATTGATTATTACAGCTAATTCACCATTAATTTAATGTTATCCACGTTTATATATTTAATGATGTCTTGAATCATGTTACCTATATATACAAGCATCCTCCTATAACACAGTAGATAGATTCTTACAAAATAACGTCTTGTATTAATTTTCGAGTTTAAAAATCAATAGTTAACAGAAGGATGCGTTTCTAAAACTTTTAAAAACAAAATATATTTCTTAATGATTCTCACAGTTACCTCATTTAAATTTAGACTTTTTTGTATATGCCTTTTCTCCTTTTAAAAAATGACTGAAAATTTGTATTTTCCTTTCCAAAGGAATGTTTTAAGAATTTTTTTCTTTTAAAAGTTCTTTGCTTACTTTCAGATTTCAGATACAATTTGAGATTGTAATATAATTTCGCTAATGCTAATAAATTTATTTAATTTTATAAATAAATTTCTCTCTAATGTTTCTAAAAATGGCAGGACTAATTAGGAACAAATACCCAAAAAGTTGTCAAAAAAATTTGATTTATAAAATCAAAAATTGTGTAATGTATACAATCTGCGTGATAAACACTTGGAGCACAAGATACACGTACGTACTGTGTAAATGAAGCATGAACCGATTTTAAAAGAATTTCAATGTAAGAGAATGCGAGTACTCCCATAATTTATTTTATTGCTGTGTGTATAAATAAATAAGTTGTTATTGTGTAGTATAACGCCATGGTATAGTACGTAAATTATTTTCACAAATAAATTTTAAATAAAAATCATGCTATCGAAATATGTACATACATAGAAGTTATAAGAGAGTTCTAAGAGTTATAACAAGGTTTAGGTATAATTTAATAACGTGCTAGAATGAAACCATGTTACCATGCTGCACGAGGGCTTTCACAATTTGCTTATCGTGTAAGAGCGAAACCGTGTTCTAAGAAGGATAAATGCATGTACTTTCACTTACGTGTTATAAAAACTTTGTCACACAAGCATTGATTAAAATTTTTTGCAATATTCGTGTATTCAAGAGTATTTTATTCCTTTTTATATGCTATATATTGTTATGTAATTCTGAATCATCTTTCTTTCAGGCAGCACCGACCCTTCCGTTTCTATGATTCAACATGTTCGGATCCAACGGGCCCTGTTCCCCAACGGACTATGTTCCACAATTCACAAGCATCTTGGAACCCATCTATTTTCCATCCGTGAGGGATAATCCTCCACCAGTACAACCTCTTTCCTTTGACTCGGACCCCGACTGCCAAAGCTCAGCACCACCTACTCCAGATGTCATTTCTGGAATCATAAGTCTTACTGGTGGACCTTGTCCGTCCGAAATATCGAGCGGGTCTTTTGGAGATTTGACATCGCCAGAAGAATATCATTCCACGTCTTCCCCACCTTCATATCCAGTAGATGTATCTAGGGTCCAGGCTACGAGGTCCAAGCTAATCAAGGAAGGACTGAAGCTGACTATTCAGTCCAGAAGAATGGTGCATGGATTAGACAATATCCGACCAGAATATAAACCACCGCAACGTGAAGAGGTAGGAAAAATTATAGTTCTTTTCTATATAAATATAGTTCTTATCTAATTATATTTCTACGGTACTGAAGGGCCTGGTGGGTGGAAATTAGAATTCTAACCTCTCTTCGGAGTAGGCTTTGGAAAACATACATGGACAAGATAAAAACAACATTTAACACCTAAATTAACAGAAGGCACCATTTGTGCTACAGATGAACCTCTTCTACTTGCGGGCGTTTAATATAACGTAAAAATAAGTTAATTTCAATGTAGGTAACGTAGTCTTAGACTACACACAAAATAGACTACTTTAAGGTGACTCAAGATAATTAAAGGCGCGTATTTTAAACGTCGACTAGCAAGATGCTAAAGCCGGAATAAAATTTTGGCAGAACTGACAATGGTATGTAACTGCAAGGTGAGACTGCTATGAGCTGTGTCTCTGAAACATTCATGTCCTCGGCTTAGTATCCAACAACTTATTTGTATTCAAGTGAGGACTACGGAAAGGAGAAGTTAAAGATTCAAATTATAATAATTGGTGTATTAACGTAAAATCGGTATGCCCCGACTGTTTTTAACTGTTATTTTTCTTTGATTTTTCGCTAAATTGTTTCATTTAGGGAAAGCCATTGTAAATAAGTTATTTTTTTGTCGAAATAAGATATACAGTTTTTATCACGATAACCATTATGATCACACTGGAGTTGTAATGCTTAAAAACTGACTTTCTTCGAAGCTTGAATAACTGAAAAATCTAAAACTATCAGCTGTGCAGCCAGATATGTCTGATTGTATTATTAAAAAGTACAATGGATAAGGCATATCTGAATGAATAATTTTTTTTCATTTATTTATCCATATCTTATTTGTTTTTTTTTCTGATTTATTTAAAATTCAATAGCTTTTATTAAACGTATGGATATTTTTTCCAATTTAATAAAGATAAATAGGTAGACAAGTTATATGTGGTCATAATTTTATTGTAATTTAACTTTGACATAGAATTGCACAAAGATAAATAGGTAGGCAAGTTATATGTGGTCATAACTTTAATGTAATTTAAACAATTTAGCCTTATATTCCGAAGACTTTTATATTGTCTTCCACTCTGTTTTTACCTTATCCAAATAGATCTGCTTTTATCTTTGCTTTCTACCTGTTCATATTTCTTAAGGTTTAGTCAATTCCACATGTATAATTTAATCAATATAAGATATCCGATTTTATATTACATAAATATATATTACATAATATGACATTTCATTTATTGAAAAGAACAGAGTGGTTAAACTTGAATTACGAAGTGTTCTAAACATTTTATTAAGTTCTAGTGTTTAGTTGTTGAAAATTCGTTATCAGAAAGTTCAAGTTTAAAAGTATTAGCCAAAACTCTTGCAAATTATTTAAACAACATCAGAGTGATACAAGTGTTTACATTTTTTAGAACACGCTTTTTTTACTAATGAATACCCGTTTTCAAGAGTGCCTGTTATGATAAATACCTTTTGTCTTGAATAAAAGTGCATAAACTTTTTATTAAAGCTGTAACTTAAAGAGTGATTATCGTACCGTAGTAAAAATACAACTTTGTACGATCGCTTTATAATAGTGTTCCATAAAATTAGAATGCGGATTAATTTTTCTTTTTGAAAACTTTTTAAATGTTAAAAAATTGCAATCCGAAAACTTGAATTCATTCTGACATCTCGAAAAATTTACCACTAACTTAAAAATAAAGAAAATATATTTTGAAAAATTTTTAAATATAAATATAGTTTTAAAAATAAATTCCTATATGATCTTGGTATGCAGGTTTCAATTTAACACCTGAGATAATTTTAATGTAGACAGTTTTAGTACAGTAATCTAGACAGTTTTAGTCTAGTAGGCGTACTAGTTTAAGAATTTTTTCTCCGGACGTTAGATACAGAATGACAAATTTTACATTTAAAATGAGCTGTTCAAAATGGCCAGGGCGTAAAATTCGCAAAGTGAAAACAATAAATGCATGAAAAATATTTCTTGTAGGTATTTCAGTAAACATCTATTTCTTCCTATCACAAAACTATTCATAATTTAAGTATAAATTGAATTCATATTTCTTTTAAGGTAATTTTTAAATTCTCAAGTATAATTCCTCTTATTTCTTTTGTCTTAAGAACTAGATAAGAAATCGTAATTTTTGTTTTTGTTAATTTCATTGAAATAATTGTTTTTGTGTGGAACAATAGTCGCTTAATGTGATCGCGGTTAATATTATCATTCGGATACTGTTATCGAATCGTCGGATTTCCTTCCGTTTGTATGCGAAAACATGGAAAATATATCGGTTATTGTTATCAGCAATGCGGTTAAAGTTATCGAATATTTTATAAAATGATGTAATGTCGCCAAATAAGATGAAAATAGATTGGAAAAATTGCCAACAATTAGAAAAATGTCGCCATGTGTGGGATTATGTAGCCAAACAGCTTATTTTCGATTTTAGTCAGCCATTTAAAATTAAGCAAAAAAGCAGCCTCAGTTTTTCTTAGATTTTGAATAACTATCGATTTTAAAGACGATCATATACAGGTTCCACTTCTTCAGGAGAAAAAAAAATTCTGCAGAATTCTTTCCTTACTCTTTTAAAAAAATTCCTTGAAAACATCTGCGCCAAATTTGGTTAAATATTTTGCTTAATTTTAAACTTTGCATTTTCTCTTCCAGTAAATAAGGAATGCCCTCCGACTATTAAGACTGGGGATATAATATCGGTCAAATAATTCGAGAAATATTATGAACAGTTCATAAATAAACTATTGTCTTAGAGATGCTATGAACAAATAAACATAACAACATTTTGCATTTTCCTGGTTAAGATTCTGTGAAAATTCTTATTGTATGTTTCTTTCTGTATTTATATTAAATCAGTTAAATTCTACTGCTGATTTAAAAGATATTTTTTCTTTATTTCTTGATGTTATTATTCGGTTAATACTATCAAAGTAACCGTGGACAAACGGGATTATATTAAGCGGCGCCTTCTGTCATGCATTAGGGCAGTTGGAGATTGTTAACGATCTAATTCGATTTTAATGATCTAACTTTCATTTTCTATAGTAATCCCTTTTTTATGGCAAAGGTTTGAATACCAGCGTGAAACAAGGACAGCAGATATTCACTATACAAGTGTGACTATGTCGGAGTCGTATCTGACTATCGCAACATGTAGTGTGTGCGGCAGCTGGACGACCTTGATCTTATCTGCACAACACAAGCACGTATCTGTGAGGAGTGTTTATGTTTTGGTTCATTTTTCGCATTACCGCCTGACTGTTAGTCGGTTATATGCACCCTGCAATGATAATAATAGCGTTGATAATAATAAAAGAGAAGGAAAAAAGATATTTCACAATACGGTCATTATGGTGAGAAAATAGAAGAAAAAAAGAGTGGCGAAAAGAGAATGTTTAGAAAAGGAAGGTTGTGAAAACTTGGTCTGATGCGAATTGACTTTTTTTTAACCTTTGTCTTTCCACACCGATTTTAAATAATATTTACTTTTATGCTACATGAAAACTAATCCTGAGAGGATAGCAAAATACTTTGGTGCTTCAAAACTTGATATGATAACAAAAGAAGTACAGCATGTTATTTAAGCATCATTTTCAAAAAGCATTTATTAAACGCGTTTGAAATACTGCCTTAGCGATGAGTTTCATTTCGAAGTTTCTTTTGTTTTTTGAATTAGTAAAAATCGAGTCTTTGTGCGATCACTTCAGGCACAATATTCGTTAAAACAGCTTGGAAAAGAATTTTTTCATAAACCTTTTAAAGAAGTTTTGTAACAAAAAAAAAAAAAGCAAAAAATTTGAAAAGGAAATAAAATTGTCTAACTCAGCGCTTCTCAAATTTTTTTCAATCAGGACCCCTTATCGAGATTTTTTCCGTGACCCCCAAATATTAAATATAGAATAAAAATGTAAAAAAAATTAATAAAAAAATCTGAAATGTTTCAGATTTTAAATTACGTCCAAAGGGGCGTTTTTTAACATTTTGTGTGTTACCTTTCTTTATTAAATATCATGTTCCTCGCACTTAAACCATAAGATCCAGTGCAACAGCAATATCGCAAAATAGTTTTAAAACGAGCATATCTTTAGAATTTCCGATACAGAGACTCACGCGCTGGAGATAAAAATGTTTTTTCTGCACAACGTTGCCATTGCTCGCTTTGAAATCCTTGAGTTTGTTAATCAAAAATTCGTCAAAGTTTTAAAAAATAGGAAATCGATCATAAAACAAATTTCAAATTTCAAATTTGGTCTTCCACATGCTCATATTCGTTGGAGGATTACGTTATTCAAAATTCGATGACTCTATGTACCGTTATTTTATGACAATGTGAGAAATATACATACATTTACGCAGATTTTCATTATTTAATTTCTTCAAATATAATGCAGGACTCTAACATTTTATGGCAACAGTTTGAAAAGTGAACCGACATTTATCCGTCCGACGCAAAATGCCAAAACGAAACTATAGTCTTCGGGATTCAAATCCCTTTGGACTAAAATAATTATTTTTTCATAAGTTATTTCTTTGGTAAACAATATACATATGAAAAGTAGTTTGGGGATTAGTTTCAAAAATACAAAAATAGCTGAAAGAAAATTTTAATCAGACGGAGGTGCCTTTTAGTCCAAAGAGGCTTTGTCCATGAAGGACTATCCGTTTCGTTTTGCGATTTTGCCTCGAATCGCTTATAAACGGTGTATCACTTTTCGAATTGTTGCCACCCAATGTTAGAGTCTTGCATTATATTTGAAGAAATTAAATAATGAGGAATCCGTCTAAATGTATATGTTTTTCTTGCATTGTGATAAAACAACTGCACCTAGAGCCATCCAATTTTGAATGACGTAATCCTACTGCAAATATGGGCATTTGAAAGCCCAAATTTGAAATTTGGAATCTGTTTTATTATCGATTTTATATTTTGTAAAACTTTAACGAATTTTTAATTAACAA